TTATTTACTTACAACAATTTGTTTCAGTTCTTCACGTTCAATCTCCCCATAACTATTTACCTTATTACCATTCATTTACTGCATTATTCGCTATTATTTTATTAGTAAATCTAACAATTAGTTACCTAATTCTTGCAGAGAAACTCATGTCTTCTAGATGGTAGACATCTGTTACTGAGGGCAGAAAAGACACCTGTCACTAAAGCAGGGAACACCTGTCACTAAGGGAGGGAAAGCATCTGTCATTAAGAGAGGAGAACATATGTCCTTTAAGGAGGGGAGACACCTGTCACTTGAGAAGGGATATGCACCTCTCACTTTGGGAGGGGCGACTCCTATCACTTGGGGAGGGAGAGACACCTGTCAAACAAAGAACGGGAGAAACCTGTCACTTTGGGAGGGAGAGACACCTGTCACTGAAGAACAGAGACACCTGTCAAACAGTGAATGGGAGAAACCTATCACTTGGGGAGGAAGAGACACCTTTCACTGTATAAAGGGGAAAACACCTGTCATTTGGGGAGGACTTACCTTGCGTTGGTTCCGAGAGTCAAGGTCCACGCGGCCCGGTCTCTGACCAGGCCTTCTGGTTGATGGTTTGGTCAATCAGTAGGAAGAGAGTCAACCAAGAGAAGACACCTGTGTCTGGTGGGGGGGAGGAGGTGAAAGATATACACCTGCCAATGGGGAAGAGAGACACCTTTCAGTAAGGGAAAGGGGAACATCAGTCGCTGTTTAAGGGTGGAACAGATGCTCCACTACACTAAAAAAGGGTAGCATCTGCCATTAAAGGAAAACAAGACCTGTAGCTAAGATAGGTAGGCACTTGTCACTTGCTTTATTTACTTTATTTACACGCCTTTTATCAGTAAATCTCACAAACTATGGTAAATAAAAACCAGTAAATTAAATCAGCCAATCACGAAGACAAATATCTAAATCATAATTTATTATCTAAATATAGGCAACGACGTGATCAAGAGATATAGCCAATAAGTTAATACAATAATATCGATGAACAATTTCGTAACAAAACGCATGAAATATTGCAAGGAAACTGCGACCTCACGAGACAACAGCCAACCGCAGCTTGAAAATCGTCACCTCGGCGAAATCGTCATTTTTCGCAAAACTCAAAATCAAAACCAGCCATAGAATCGTTTTGAAAATATGACCATTGGATTTACCGCGATAATTTATATTTCTTTCTGTTAAGTCTTTCTTTGCTATTTTTCAATATTAAAGCCTCTAGACCAATATTTACCGAGATACAGCCAACTCAAATATGAACAAAGTCATCATGAATTCTCAACATATTATGACGAGAAATGAGTTGAAAAACTTGTAATAATAATGAAAATGAGCTAAATAATAAATGGGTAATAAAAGATTTTGCATTTCTTTATTCCTTATTTACTTACAACAATTTGTTTCAGTTCTTCACGTTCAATCTTTGTCCCTATATCGCAGCTGGTCCCCATATTTATTTTAACCTCATATACTAGTTCTTTGTCCTCATACAAGCTCCTTGTCCTCATATTGCAGCTCCTTGTCCTCATTCTCTAACTCATTATCTTCATGACTCCTAATACCCATTTCCCAATTCCTTGTTCTCGTATCCCTTCAAAGTGCTATATAGTCATGGTGGCTTGGCACTCGCCTCTTATAATTACGGTACCTTTCTAATTATTGTATTCTCCACTTTTCTTTTATTAGAAAATCTAACAATTAGTTACCTGTCACTTAGGAAGGATGAGAAAATTACTACTTAGGGAGGGAGAGACACCTGTCAAACAGAGTAGGGAAGAAACCTGTCATTTGGGGAGAGAGACACTTATTGGAAGGACACTTATACAGTATAGGAAGACACTTATAGGAATGGGAGACACCTGTTATATGGGGAGGGAGAGACACCTGTCACTGGAAGAGGGGTAAACCTAAAGAGGTTTCCGGAGGTACAGTTGGGTTCGTTCTCGATTCGCAATCGAAAATTCCGGGTTCGAATCCCGGGTGGCATAGAAATAGTTGGGCATGTTTCCTATCACCTCATGCCTCTGTCCACCTAGCACTAAATAGATATACAAGAGGTAGTCAGCCTGTTGTGGGGTTGCATCTTGGAGAGGGTCAGTAATACGCCCCTGGAGAGGGGGGGGGCAGGCTACCTCGATATAAGCCTAATATAAACTGTATATATAAACTGGCTGCCTGTCCCCCAACACAATGAATTATTAATTATCTGTCACTTAAGAAGGATAGACACTTGTTACATAGGGAAGGAGAGACACCTGTCACTGAGAGAGAGAGAGAGAGAGAGAGAGAGAGAGAGAGAGAGAGAGAGAGAGAGAGAGAGAGAGAGAGAGAGAGAGAGAGAGAGAGAGAGAGAGAGAGAGAGAGAGAGAGAGAGAGAGAGAGAGAGAGAGAGAGAGAGAGAGAGAGAGAGAGAGAGAGAGAGAGAGAGAGAGAGAGAGAGAGAGAGAGAGAGAGAGAGAGAGAGAGAGAGAGAGAGAGAGAGAGAGAGAGAGAGAGAGAGAGAGAGAGAGAGAGAGAGAGAGAGAGAGAGAGAGAGAGAGAGAGAGAGAGAGAGAGAGAGAGAGAGAGAGAGAGAGAGAGAGAGAGAGAGAGAGAGAGAGAGAGAGAGAGAGAGAGAGAGAGAGAGAGAGAGAGAGAGAGAGAGAGAGAGAGAGAGAGAGAGAGAGAGAGAGAGAGAGAGAGAGAGAGAGAGAGAGAGAGAGAGAGAGAGAGAGAGAGAGAGAGAGAGAGAGAGAGAGAGAGAGAGAGAGAGAGAGAGAGAGAGAGAGAGAGAGAGAGAGAGAGAGAGAGAGAGAGAGAGAGAGAGAGAGAGAGAGAGAGAGAGAGAGAGAGAGAGAGAGAGAGAGAGAGAGAGAGAGAGAGAGAGAGAGAGAGAGAGAGAGAGAGAGAGAGAGAGAGAGAGAGAGAGAGAGAGAGAGAGAGAGAGAGAGAGAGAGAGAGAGAGAGAGAGAGAGGAGAGAGAGAGAGAGAGAGAGAGAGAGAGAGAGAGAGAGAGAGAGAGAGAGAGAGAGAGAGAGAGAGAGAGAGAGAGAGAGAGAGAGAGAGAGAGAGAGAGAGAGAGAGAGAGAGAGAGAGAGAGAGAGAGAGAGAGAGAGAGAGAGAGAGAGAGAGAGAGAGAGAGAGAGAGAGAGAGAGAGAGAGAGAGAGAGAGAGAGAGAGAGAGAGAGAGAGAGAGAGAGAGAGAGAGAGAGAGAGAGAGAGAGAGAGAGAGAGAGAGAGAGAGAGAGAGAGAGAGAAGAGAGAGAGAGAGAGAGAGAGAGAGAGAGAGAGAGAGAGAGAGAGAGAGAGAGAGAGAGAGAGAGAGAGAGAGAGAGAGAGAGAGAGAGAGAGAGAGAGAGAGAGAGAGAGAGAGAGAGAGAGAGAGAGAGAGAGAGAGAGAGAGAGAGAGAGAGAGAGAGAGAGAGAGAGAGAGAGAGAGAGAGAGAGAGAGAGAGAGAGAGAGAGAGAGAGAGAGAGAGAGAGAGAGAGAGAGAGAGAGAGAGAGAGAGAGAGAGAGAGAGAGAGAGAGAGAGAGAGAGAGAGAGAGAGAGAGAGAGAGAGAGAGAGAGAGAGAGAGAGAGAGAGAGAGAGAGAGAGAGAGAGAGAGAGAGAGAGAGAGAGAGAGATGTAGACCTCTCACAGGGCAGGGAGAAATACCTGTCACAGGGCAGGGAGAAATACCTGTCATTGAGGGAGGATGAGAGACACACACCTATTACTAGGGGTGGGGGGTGAGACACCTGTTATGGGGGGAGGGGAGAGACACCCATCACTATAGGAAAGCAACACCTGTCACTAAAGGAAGGGGACATCTATTATTAAGGAAAGGGGGGAACACCTGTCATTAAGGGAGAGGGAATACCTGTGTTTACTGTTTGTGCCTGTAGAATTGAGCTATTAGCTCTTGGGTCCTGCCTTTCTAACCAATCTAGTTTTCATCTTCATCTATTGATGAAGAAAAGGATCTTGGAGTCAAGATCCACCACTCATTAAAAGTTGCACAACAGGTGGATGCAGCAGTCAGAAAAGCTAACCAAACTCTTGGGATAATCAAATATACATTTGACTATAATCAAAAGAAGGTAATGGTTCAAATGTATAAATCTCTGGTGCAGATTACTGTATCCAAGCATGGAAACCTCATTTTGAATAGGGCATAGTTGCACTGGAGAAGGTGCAACACCGGGCAACAAAAGTTATTCCAGAGCTAAGTCATCTCTTGTATCAGGAACGCTTGAAGGCCACAGGGCTAACAACACTGCAAACCAGGTATGACAGAGCGGATCTCATTGAAACTTTTAAAATACATAGCAAGTTAGAGGATGTTGATCCGGATATTTTCTTCAGAAGGTCAGATGTAACTCAAACAAGGAGCAATGGTTTTCAAGCTCAACAAGCCACAATGTAGGACTGAGAACAGGAGATGCATTTTCACCCACAGAGTTATTAACCCATAGAACTGCCTACCTGCCAAAGTCACAACTGTCAAAATTGTGCTGAATTTCATAATATACAGTACTAGAAAAAGATCAAGGCAAATGGGTGGGACCTTCGATAAGCTGCTGGTTTCCTGTCTTTGTCAAGGCCACTAATGTTAGTAGTATTTATTTATTTATATGTATACAAGAAGGTACATTGTATTTATGAGAATACATAGGATTGATGTTTTTACATTCCTGTAAAACCATTAACACGCATAGCATTTCTGCAAGGTCCTTAATCTAACAGATAATTTTAAGCAGGTAATTTCTAGCAAAACTGAAAAAAATTTAACAAGTACATTGTAAGAAAATTTGACAATCTTCATCAATCAATCAATCACTAGGGAAGAAGGACATATTCAAATGAATCTGGACAAATATTTTTATCAAATCTCTAAGCAAAGGCCACTTGGACCTACACTCAGAACCCTCATTGATACCACGCATAGGCGAAGGATATTTTGCTCTAATCGCCCAGAACTAGTTAAAGGCATTAACTTAAACAACATATTAGACGTTAGTCACTTTAATTTAAAAAGTTACAATTTCCACAATGTACAAAGAACTCACAAATGAATAAATAAAAATTTGACAATGAGGTTACAATCGTTACAAATCATGTCTTGCGAGGGCAGGGATGAGCTGGGCTGACCAGTTTACATTCTCCACCACCACTACTGACTGCATGATGGTGTTAAATCCTGTATAGTAAGCACCAGCAGCTTGAATTATGCGTTCACCAACATTAATGTCATGTGCTTTGTTGTTAGTGCCTCTACCTGCTGTTCCTGGCTACTACATGTATCTATCACCACCAGCTGTTGCTGGATGCTCTTAGTATTGTAATTTCCTGTTTACTGCTAAGTTCTATTTATTTCAATCCAGCGGCTGGTACTGCTCGAAATATTAAAAGTAGATCCACCATTGCCAGCTGCTCAATACCCCATGTTGTATTGTTTATACAACATTCTCTACACAATTCTCCAAGCTTTTTTATATTAAAGAAAATTGACTTCCGTTGCCAACTGGCTGCTGGTATTAGTACTGTACATCTTTTATATCAGATGTTAGAAGATCGTGTATTGTATCCAGCTGGCATTTAGCCATCTCATTTAGCCAGCTGGCACTTAAGACCTTGAATATAGTAATTAAGGTGCACAGTGAAATCACAAAAATATTTATAAATGTGCCAATAAATATTGAAGCTATAGGATGGGATCAAACCTGTTTCTCTGAACTTCCGAGGGACACAGGTTGGATTCCATCGTATGGCCTCAATATCCATTCATAGTCAGTTTGTAAATAGCCTGCCCCCTCACACCTTATTTACAGTAGCTAGGACGATGCTGATGCATTATGTTATGTTTCTCCTCTAGTTACATGGCCATCTGCTGCCAGCAAGAAGTAAACCATTATTTTCTTGCAACTCCCAGCACTGCCCTCCCTCTAGACTATATATGTTTTTAGTGTCTTAAGCATATTAGTAAACTATAGTGACCTCACAAAAATTACCATGACTCAAAAAAGCTTATTATTATTCTTATTCTTATTCTTATTATTATTATTATTTTGTTGAAGGCAAAGTGAAGACTAACTTTTGAGAAGCTCAACATAAAATACTATGTTGCTTAGTAAAGTATTTTTAACGTTTCCCAAAGCAAGAGTCAAGTTCACTCATCCATGGTGACAATAGTTTGGTAGATACCATTTTGACTAGTGCCTTTACTTAAATGTCAGCTATTGCAGGTGCATTGACCTATATGACATCAGCTGTCAGCTCTTTTTTTTTTTTTGCAAGTTTGAAACTAAGTTTATCTGTCTTCACAAACATCATAGATACTGTTAGTGACCCACAAGTACGGTAGACATTGTCAGGGCTCCACCGGCATTATGAAACTCATCAGCATTTCTACCAGGAAGAAGGGCAACACCCGAAGGACAGGGGCAGTGCCGCCTCCCGGCACGCAGGACATGCAATCTGGGGCGGCGAGAGTATCTCTGAAAGGTATGTGCCACCAGTCATACTGGTGGCACTCTGCAAGTGCCACCAGTATGACTGACACTCCGCAATCCCAACCGTACAACAGACACTCTTAAGTGTTTTCATCACCATGACTGGCACTGTTATCATTGCCGTTAATGTGGCAGACACTCTCAGCATCTCTGTAAGTAGAGATGCTGTCATAACTTTGATTAGTTTTGGCTGACACTATCAGTACTTCTTCCAGTTTAGGCCAACACAGTGTGTAAATCCACCAGTTTTGGCTGACACTATCAGTACCTCTTCCAGTTTAGGCCAACACTGTGTGTAAATCCACCAGTTTTGGCTGACACTATCAGTACCTCTTCCAGTTTAGGCCAACACAGTGTGTAAATCCACCAGTTTTGGCTGACACTATCAGTACCTCTTCCAGTTTAGGCCAACACAGTGTGTAAATCCACCAGTTTTGGCTGACACTATCAGTACCTCTTCCAGTTTAGGCCAACACAGTGTGTAAATCCACCAGTTTTGGCTGACACTATCAGTACTTCTTCCAGTTTAGGCCAACACAGTGTGTAAATCCACCAGTTTTGGCTGACACTATCAGTACTTCTTCCAGTTTAGGCCAACACAGTGTGTAAATCCACCAGTTTTGGCTGACACTGTCAAAACTTTCACATTAAAATGGCAACCACTACTTGGAATGTTCAACTGAAGTTCATATGAAGACATTTATATAATATTGAATATTTTTTTAAATTTTTTACATGATTAATTAGTAGTAGATACTGAAGCCAAAAATATTTTTTTTATTTTGGTATTTCTATTACATGATAAAAAAAAAAAATCCACCCCAAAGATGATATCTAAGCATAAAGAACTTCTCCTTCGTGGGAAAGAGGTAACCTTATAGTGAATAAAAACACTTGCCAAACAGATTACACTTTTAAGTTTAGCAAAACATATAAATCACAACACAAGGAAAACTGTGTACAGAGAACCGAGGTCCACGATTACTCTTCCTGACTGACCACCATACCTTCCCAAGCAGATCTTCAGACCCAATTTATGTTGTCTGCATATGCCATAACAAACTATTCAGTACCATATTGTATGATACTCTATCTTCTACCGTATACAGAATATGTAATTTACCATATATAGGTATTTACAGCACAGAATTTAAGAGAAATGATATCGAAATTTATGTTTTATACTGTTCTAAGGAACAGGAAAACAAATCGGGTTGAATGTATTGAAATGCCTCTTTCTGGCGAGTCCGTCGGTGACTCCCGAGAAGCTATCTAAGGGTCCCTCCCAGAAAAAGGCCCGCATGATTTTGTTTTGACAAGAGTTCAACACAGGAAGGATCTGAAGTCCTGGCTGAAAGCCAGTATGGCTTCATCTAGGTATCATAATGATATTACTATCACGATGTCCATACCAAAATAAATTAATGCATTGGTTCCTATACCAAGATAGGTCAAGGTGATGGGCTGTATATACAAAGGTAAGCTAGGATACCGGGACATAAATAACGGGATAAACTAAAGGATATGTTTTAGAGAAACTATGGTTAGCATACAGTGAGGGTCAGTCTGTGAATGTGTTCTCAATTAAAGGAATAAGATTTGTAATAGGGATAAGACTTCCAATTATCACTATCAGAAGTTGGGTTACAGAAGTGAAGCTTATATATATATGTTAAAAAGTGTTCTAGCTGCATGCTTTAAATTTGATCATGCCACACTGCAAGGACTGAAAATGAGAAAATGTTGAGGAAATGCACATGTAGTATATCTGATATCACAATTCCAAACGTGTAATTAAGTTGAAGAAACGCAAACCATATAAAGATCACCAAGCCACTAAACATGATTATAAGTCGTGTTTCCTGACCTCCCACACCAGTAAAACAAGAGTTATCCAGTTATTCACATCGATACATGCGAGCAATCTGACCCCCTACATATACACCAAATTGTATGGACCTAGAATAATTTTGTGGTCTGCCTAAAATTGACCTAGGCTTTGCTGGCCACATAAAACAAAAATTATGTGAGGAATTAGCTCATATATATATATACAAATGGAGGACATTATACATGTCTGCCTATACTGTATCTTCCTATTCAAGGAGGCACACATAACAGACTAAGTAAAAACCTCTCTGTAATTACAAGTGAAAAAAGAGAGAGAGAGGGAGAGAGAGAGAGAGAGAGAGAGAGAGAGAGAGAGAGAGAGAGAGAGAGAGAGAGAGAGAGAGAGAGAGAGAGAGAGAGAGAGAGAGAGAGAGAGAGAGAGAGAGAGAGAGAGAAACTGCAGAAGCAAAAATATTCCAGAATAAAATCAAATTTAAAAGGGAGAAGAGCTCATATTTAGTAAAAAGAACATTTTAGATACATCAATGCTCATTGTTGCCACATAATGAGGGGTATGTGTCGTTATAAAGATCATCTACATTCCTTTGTTAGCTAGCACAATATATATATAAGGTTATTTTCATAGTAATATCCCCTTTGCTTTCTCCAGTTGTTCTAGACACTAATAATCACAATGCTCTTATTTAGTACTGTACTAAATAAGCAGTACTTACTGAGCACAATATTCATGAGCAATATCAATTCAAAGACAAATCAACATCATCAATGCCAAATCAACATTATCAATGTGGACTCAATGTCATCAACATTGATTCAACATTGAATTAACATTAATAACGTTCACACTTTCAATACACAGAGAGTAATCACACTAACGTGATGTGTCAACATTGATAATAATGTTGTACATATGGTAATTAATAACGTTGATTCAATGTGAACCAACGCCACTCTTGGATATTGTCTCCACCGAGTACTCATTACACAGCATTAGGAGCTCATTAGATACGAACACTAAAGAAATCAAAGTATCGTTTATGGCAGTTCAAGAGAGCACTGGTAAAGGCCAAGGGGGCTCATTACAATGATAAAACAAACATAAGCATATATTGTAATATATGCACCCTATGGCTTATCCACACAATGTGCATTCATACTGCATTCCTTCGGTAATTGGAGATGTGCCACACAATGCCCTATTTCATATAATTGTTTGCTTTTACATTAGCTTCCAAAGATTGCTGATTATCAAGGCAATATTTGCTGGTTTGACACCAGTTTGTAATATAATTTTGAGAATGCCAAGATCTTTGGGTTTTTACTTTAAATGTTCTGTTGGTTTCTGTTACGCTTGAAAGTATTTCAATAGCTTGTTGTGGTCACAGGTATACCTTTAAAAATTCAGTTCTTTCAACATTCAATTTAATAAGATATTTTGAATGTTTTCTTTTCAGACCTTTATATAAAATTAAAAAGCATTTCTCTCTATCATGCAGTTATAATAGTTTAACTTCTGGTTATTTATGATCAATGAAATATGTACTGCATTATAAATTACTGAATTATTAATTATTATTCCTTATTAATTATTGAGACATGTAATGCAATTATCGTCTAGAAAAATTATCTAATCTTGTACAGTATTAAGGAACTAATTCTAAGTAGCACATCATTTCCACTATAAATTTCACTTGAATTTCATCATTAATCCACTTGTAAGATATTAATGCCTCCTTAAGACAAAATCCTTAGAAAAAGACAAAAAAGAATTACTTAACACCAGATGTACATTTTAACTTCTGGACTAACTTTGAAAGAATTTCAGAAATCACTGTTTCAAATCTGCATTCAGTATTTATAAATCTCTTAAAAGAAAATGATGCAATTCACAGATCACTTCCGTCAAGGTGATATGTATGTGAACCTGTCGCTGCGTTACAATGAAGCTGAGTGTGTTATAGAAGGCTTAATTTTTGCAGGATGTTAGCCATTTGCAGGCACAGGATAACGTCTGAAATAGGAAATAAGATACAGTAATTAATAGTGCCAATTGATGTACGTGATTCTGCTAATAGTTATAACCTCCTAATAATCACGGCATTAGATAAATAGCTAAATAGTAACAAATTACTGGTAAATTAATAATAATAATAATAATAATAATAATAATAATAATAATAATAATAATAATAATGTATACCGTATTTATAACAAAATATATGTTTTATATGGTTATATTGTCAATTGTACAAATATGGACATGATGGACCAATAGAAAGTAGACTTTTGTATTATTGAATTTGGGCAAACTAGAAAAGTTTTTGTTTATATGTTGCTTATGAAACCCAACCCAACCCAACCCAACCCAACCCAACCTAACCTAACCTAACTTAACCGAACCTAGCCATCCAAGGCTTAATACACACCAGTTGACTGACAGTTGAGAGGTGGGACCTAAGAGCCAAAGTTCAGCCCCTGCAAGCACACACACTATCCGAGGCCTAATATAGTACATATATGTGCTATACTAGGCTTAGGAATATTTAAGTATGGTTTTAGCTTTATTTTTTTCCAGACTATCAAATAAATAGTGCCATATTCTACTTTCGATTTGTGCATCCTATCGATATTTGTACTATTGTCCACATAACTGCAATAAGTACTATCTTATCAGGAGACTGGGTTGTATACTGTATACATATAATAAATCAATAAATGTTTATTCAGGTAAAAGTACATACATACAAGATGAGTTACAAACAGAATGTTGGATTTCTAAATAGAGCTAGTACATACTATGCCTAAAATCACTAATACATACAGCATTTCAGGCAAGATTACTAAATACTGTATAATAAATAAACATAATAATATGTTTGTAAAAAAAAAATAGAGAACCAGATTACAGTGACTTTTTAGTAGGTACAGTATAGTATTGAAAAAGATCGTGAATATACAGTATAGAGTTTAAAATCGTTGGGGTAATTTTTAATACTATAAGAGGTACATCCTTAAGAAAAATGTAAAGGGCTGCGAATCACACGCACATAGACATTTTTACATATGAGATTCCAATCTAATCTAATTTAATGTGCATCATTTGTATGTAATTTCAGCATTCTTTTCTACCTAGTGCTTACCTTGAGCCAGTTCTGAGGAACAATGTTCCCATGGTTCGGTCTCTGACCAGGCCTATCGTACATTTAGAGGTGGAACAGCCACACGTTTCTCAAACATACATTCACACTCTACCAAACAATAATAGGCTAAAAGACCTTCTTCATACCAACCAGATGATGATGTAGCAGGAACTAGTGTTTGGCAGCGAGTTTATGTCCTGAGCAACAGGACAGGAAGGAGGAGCATCAGCAGGGCACCAGAGCCTGCGACCGGGGCTCCGCTGGTTGTGCGTTGGACGGCCACTTCTATCACACCAAGCAAATATATGATCATCTTGAAATTAAAGGCTCCTAGTCAAATATTCACAGAATTAATTGCAGTGCTAAATAAATTAGGCAATGGTCTGCATGGGGATTTTTTTTTATATTTGCAATCAGTCATTATGGAACTCACTAAGTCATTATGATCACCAAAACAATAAAGCACAGTGCAATATTGCAATATATGCTGTTAGCTTCTCTCATTTATGTATATGTGTGTGTGTGTGTGTGTGTGTGTGTATATATATATATATATATATATATATATATATATATATATATATATATATATATATATATATATATATATATATATATATATATATATATATATATATATATATATATACTGTATATATATATATATATATGTCGTACCTAGTAGCCAGAACTCACTTCTCAGCCTACTATGCAAGGCCCGATTTGCCTAATAAGCCAAGTTTTCATGAAGTAAGGCTTTTTCGTCTGCCTAACCTACCTAACCTAACCTAACCTAGCTTTTTTTGGCTACCTAACCTAACCTTACCTATATATATAGGTTAGGTTAGGTTAGGTAGGGTTGGTTAGGTTCGGTCATATATCTACGTTAATTTTAACTCCAATAAAAAAAAATTGACCTCATACAGAGTGAAAAGGGTAGCTTTATCATTTCATAAGAAAAAAATTATAGTAAATATATTAATTCAGGAAAACTTGGCTTATTAGGCAAATCGGGCCTTGAATAGTAGGCTGAGAAGTGAGTTCTGGCTACTAGGTACGACATATATATATATATATATAATATACATTATATATATATATATATCTAGTTGTTCTTGCAGGGATTGAGCTCTGGGTCTTTGGTCCCGGTATGTACCTGTATGTATGTATGTATGTTGCTGAATATGACCGAAAGGTTAATATTAATTAACGATTCTAATACGAATCTTCTCAATATTTCTTGTGTTTTTCTTCACTGTCAAGGAAGTTGAAAAATTAACTCTCCAAAGTTCATTTTCACACTATATTATGGTCTGACTCCTAGGGAAGCATTTCGCTGGGCACTCCTTACATTTTCAAAGACAAATTTTCCATACTCTGCCAAGGCATATATTCGCTAGGGTTGAGGTGATACCTTTGAGCATGCCTTTTTGATTGAGATGAACAAGCGGATTAATGGCATAATGGGTATTAATAGGCCATTGCGTGTTCTATGTTCTTGCTTCTACTGTTTCTGTGTTGGTTTGGGGTTTTGACAGGTAGAATGTAATTAAGGGTTAATTGGCTGTTGATGGCTGGTTTTGACTTTTTGATGTGTAGGGCCTCGCTGATGTCGGGTCTCCTGTTGTCGTTGTACCTGTCAATAATTTGTGTTGTTAAGATTTCTCTGGTGACCAGAGTAATCACCAGAGAAATCTTAATATCATGCCATGTATCCCCAGAAAGTCTGTGGTAAGGTTCAACCTAAGAAAATTGTTGTTAGGAGAGGCAGTAGAGATTGTCCCTTCCTCATTAAGAAAATGTATGAAGTATGGGAAGGAGGACTCCCCTTCCAAATAGTAACACCTCTCCTCCCCCACCCCCTCCTCACCGTTTTCCATACGCCAACAATAGTCCCCCAATAAAGGTAAGATATACAAATTGTATCATAGTTAGGACGAAAAGAGTGGTATTCAGTATAAAATGTATTTTTAAGTTAATATTTTTGGGGTGTGTGAAAAGGATTAATCCAATTTACATTATTTCTTGTGGGAAAATTTGTTTCAAGTTACGAATTTTCGAGTTACAATCCATAACTCGGAACAGATTAAATTCATAAGTGGAGGTACCACTGCATATATATGTATATGTGTATATATATATATATATATATATATATATATATATATATATATATATATATATATATATATATATATATATATATATATATATATATATATATATGTATATCACTAAGAACTCTTTGACCCCGCCAGGATTCGAACCCATGTCGTCCAGGATCACCCCTAAATGTACACAGTACCGTGACCACCGCACCAGTGATGGTCTATTGGTGCGGTGGTCACGGTACTGTGAACATTTAGGGGTGATCCTGGATGGCATGGGTTCGAATCCTGGCCGGGTCAAAGAGATCTTAGTGATCTATGGCTTGCGCGTTCATGCAGCTTTCTCACACACACACACACATATATATATATATATATATATATAATATTTTATTTTATTATATACATAAATATACAAAATTCATCTAATTATGATAAGGAAAAGAGAGCATTAAAGCATTAGTATAAACACAAACATATAACCACAAAGGAGAAAGTATGAGTATGTGGAATAGGTTAATCTGGGTGAAGATGATGGATAATGTCGTCATCAGTCACACAGGCCACATACTGTACCCAGTTACCGCATGGGGCAAATATTTCTTTTCGAGATGTAATAATGCGTTAACCATTTAGTCACGGTTACTGCAAAACAACACACTCCAAAATGTTATGTCTTAATAAATAAATTCCATTAATTTAAAGAGAACTCAATGATGAGTTTTTTTACTTGTCATTAGAGCCATAGAATCACAAAAAGAATTTGAGGACATTATGGGGTATATTTGAATAATTGCATTATAAAAAAAATGTGAGTAAGTATAAATGCTTTTAAATTATTACGGTAATCATGAATTTGGTATGAATGCTGTAAATGATTATTATTATATTCTCAAGAGTATAAAAATAAATCAATATTTGCCCCCTTGTTAATTCATCTACCAAAAAGATATATAATGCACACACACACACACGCAGGTAAAACTACAATGCATGTTACAAGGCTCAGATAGCATCATGCTTGGATAAGGATAGTGATAGGAAAGGCAAGGTTCAGCGAGAGACGATCCACATTCTCCCTTGGTATTCATCATCAACTTGTGGCCGAAATTCTTGCAATTCTCTCATACGAGTTTGACAGATGCAAAAAAATTATACGGCCACACGTTGACGACAATTAAAGCAATAAACTAAATGTGTCTCAAATTTGTAAGCCAAGATCGCAAGCGTAGATCAGTGCTGGCAGGGTCCGTGGCTAGGTCTACAAACCTTGGCTGGAGGCAACTGTTGGACCCTCTGTATCCCCAGCAAAGGTGGTGAGGAGTGTGGTAGTGGTGATTTGGGTAGTAGTGGTGATGGAGGTGGTAGGAGTGGTGGTGGTAGTGGGTGGGACTTCCATGCACCAAAAATAAAATAAGTTTAGTCCTCGAGGAAAGTGTTCGTTGTGAAAGTGAGGAACACTACGGCTACTGATGAAGTGCAGTTTATAACAAAATTAATTGCATAGTGTGCCTGGCATGTTATAAACATTATCAAGCAATATTTCATAAAAATGAAAGAATGTTTAGCAAATACTGACTCTTGTGCTGATTATGTAATAATTTCAAGCAAAATGATATGAAAGTTTACATTTATGTTTAGTAAAATTATGACTTACAACCCCATTTTTATATAATATACATAGTATATTTACATATAAATATATAAACATGATCTACAGAAATCAGGCATTATTACCAATGTACAGTACCCATAGCAGTGAGAGATGCAGCCGAGTCTAGACCCCCTCACCTTTTTTCGTGGAGAAAGCAAACTCTGTATTGGCACCCCACATGAACTTGTTCTTGATCTGGACGGTGGCGTGATAGTCAGTGGCAGGCTCGAGATCATTGATGGTGTGTTTCATGTAGTGCATCAGATCCTGAGATTTCATATCGGTGGCCTCGTATGTGTTGTCCTGCCACTCACCAGGCTCATCGGTAGAGTCGTTGGCCTGCCAAACAAAATAACACATGCATATAGGAATGCCAGCGTCCAATCCCCGACCGTCCAAGTGGTTGGGCATCATTCCTTTTCCCCCCGTCCCATGCCAAATCCTTATCCTGACCACTTCCCAGTGCTATATAGTCATAATGGCTTGGCGCTTTCCCATGATAGTTACCTTACCTCTCCCCCATGCCATGCTCTAAGAGACACCTACCCTGGCCTTGCGGTATTTAAGCCGGTACTCGAGGATAGGGTAATAACTCTCCGTCTCCCAGGTTAGGGTGTAGCTGGTCTCTTCACCGCCATTGCGGTCACTGGTGAAGTGTGGAGGCTTGGGTGAACCTAGACGAGGAGGAAATGCATCATTAAATATGTAATATGTTGTAAACCAACCACATTAATGCATCAGAATATAATTAATTAATTAATTAATCTCATCTTAATGTGTCAGAAAACCTTCCCAATGTGTCCAAAAATCTTCCTGATGCATCCAAAAACCTTCCAAATGCATCAGAAATCTTCCTAATGTATCAGAATAGAGCAGTAAATCCCTTTTTTGTGTAAGTATTCCATTTAGAATTAAAAAAAAATGGAAACAGTAGCAAGCATTGGAGTATCATAATTGATGGGGGGGAAAAAACCTGATACTGGGCAGGTATTTTGTGCAAAATCCCCAAATAAATACTACTAATAATTATAATACTTTACCAGCAGTACTAATATATAATAGTAATAATTTATTTATACAAATATTACAGCCCGTCAAGGAAGCTGCGGTATTCTAAATTCCCTGTGCGAAGACAATACACGCAGTAACATTATTATGAAATATCATTGCAAATTTAAATCTATGTGATGTGGGAAGGTGTGGATAGAAGAGTGGGCAGGTGGCGAAGATGATGTTGAGGGTAGTGGGAGGAAAGGTGGGGGAGTGATGGGTCGAAATGCGGGGGTTGGAGGTAATGAGGGATGGGAGTTAGGGGTGGGTTGTGGGGGTGTAAAATGGCAGCCCATTCTCCTGTTTAGATAGCACTTATAGTAACTGTGTGGACCGCTGTACATATATATATTGATGTAATGGAGAGTTAGAAACTAGACATTTGGTGCTATTGAATTTGGATAAAACAAGAAAAGGTTTTGGATTTATGTTGTTAATAAAACTTAACCTAACCTAACTTTCCTACGCTATATACAACATTACCTAAGACCATATAGTATGTATATATATGGGATGAGAATTAAGAGAAAGGATGGGTGTTGTTGGGTCAGGGGGTGATGGAGGAATGTGTCTATTTTTTTTATTAACACATTTAATTACATCTGCTTGTGCAGCTGCCCTTGACTATTTGAAGATGAGTACAGTGTTCAAAAAACTCTAGCTACTAGATGCTAAATGTCCCCCATCTAGCAGGATTGTTATTCATACAGGCCATATTTCAGTAGCCTGCACTGACAAATTTTGGGTGCATTATGAGGAAATCCTCAAGAACACTAGAGTGAATAATGTAGTGTAATTGCAAAGCTCCAGGTACCTCATGCCAATGGGTTTGAATGGTCTAATAATTTGGCAGTCGGTGACGTAGTGTGGGAGTTCATGACCCAGTTCCGGCTCACAGAGTTTGCACCTGGAGTGCTCAGGATTGCAAGATCCGGATTGGATTGCTCAGGATTGGGATGGGTTTTTGAGACACTTGATAATACAACTCTATGGACTTTGCCCTTCCGGTTTAACTAATATTAATATGGCTCTCGGGTACGCTACTGCATTATATTTATTCATAATGTAAAATTAATGTAAAAAAAGGCTTTTCAAGGAGAGACTACATTGTCAAATATAAAAGATGAGATCCCACGGTATTAAATTAAATATCATTAGAAATACAGATAATACCGAGACCAATGAATATATATTTGTGTTATCCAATAATGCAATAATATTTATACTATATATTACATATTTCAGATTTCAAGTCAATACAATGATGGTTTGATAAGATACTTCACTACTTGGACACTGCATTGTTCAATTTCAAAGGTTGCCATAATTTATGACAAGGTAATTATTTTGAGGCTTAAGTTAATACATTGAGGCATTCTTGAGCTATTGAACAGTTACCTGAAGGTAAAATAAAGCAACCTTAGGCAAAACATCCACAACAAAACAATAAAATATGCATACTGGGGGTTGCCTAAATATGGAAGCATTCCATATTGATATAGGCCTACGTAGGCTGGCAATGTTGCAGACAGCATACGTCCTGTTGCAAATGCACCGAGAACCTTGATCCTCACCTGTCGTGTGTATAGAGGCTTTTTCGGTGGCATACTTATTGGCAGCTGTGCAGACGTATTCCCCGAAGTCATCTTCAGTGACCTGCGAGATTCTTAGCGAGTGGCGATGACCACCGTCTTGTTCCTCAAGATGTTTGTCCAGGGTGATAGGCTCACCGTCCTTGCTCCAGGTGACGTCAGCAGTAGGCCTAGCATGAACGATGCATACCAGCTCCACCTTGTCCCCCTCTCCTGTACGTATAATGGCCTGTCGAAACAATAAGGCAATTAGTACATTATAGGACCTATAGCATAGTGGTCTAAGTCCTTGACTCACAATCGAGGATCCCCGGGATTGATCCCCGGGTACGGTCGAAATGGTTGGGCACATTTCCTGTGTTCACCTAGTAGTAAAATAGGTACCTTGGGAGTAAGGCACCTGTTGTGGGTTGCATCCTGGTAAAGGTGAGTAGTGGGCCTAAGGGTGACCGTGATACAAGGCTAAGTACAGGCTTCCTGTCCCAAACATCAAGACTACGAATTATGTATACTAAATAATCACAGATCATTAGGCTCTGTTGTTCAATTCAATGGCTAGTTGTATACAAATGATATAACGAGTATATTATAACGAGTATACAAGATAAATAATCGCATATCATCAGACTAGTTAACTATCAGATAAGAATTATCAGGTTAATTAATATATAATATATTGTATAAACAGAGGGATACTCTATTGAGTAAGTAGAGGAACACTGTATTGTATAAAGAGAGAGGGATATTGTATTAACAGAGGGGCACATTATTGTATAAAGAGAGGGGTATTGTATTGTAAAACAGGGGAATATTGTATTGTGTAAACAGAGGGCCACTGTATCGTATTAGTCATATTGTATATACCAGTTTGCCTATCACTAGGCAACCCATCCTCTTATAAATTACGTCGCTTTTCGCTAGTATGCGCACTTAGCTGGTCGTAATAGAAAATGGAAGCAGCTCACGAAAATGTCGTACTGTCCCGTTTTCTGTTTTGGGTCCTCTGGCTTAGTCTATTAGGTTAGGATAAACCAATGTAAATTGATCGTTTTCTTGACGTTTTGAAACCTTAGGAGAATTTCCTTGCTCTCCTAAGCTACCAGAGGACCCAAAACTTGCTGCTTTGGGTCCATTTCAATTGGAAAATTAATTTCCATTTTTTGAAAATTAAAATAGTGGCCATAGTGCATACGAGCAAATAGCAACGAAATTTGTAAGAGGTCGGATTGCACAAGTCAGCCGGCTATGACGGTTCCCCGACTATGGTTATTTCTTATTAATGCACAATTGCGCATGCATACATATACAACTGTGCGTGCATGCATACACAACTGTGTGTGCATACATATACAGCTGCGCGTGCATACATATACAACTGCGCGTGCACACATATATACAACTGCGCGTGCTTACATATACAACTGCGCGTGCATACATATACAACTGCGCGTGCTTACATATACAACTGCGCGTGCATACATATACAAAGCCCACCTTCTCGGTGATGATCTCCGGGGGGTACTCGACGATCACAGACATAGAAGAGGTCGCCTTGTCCCCAATGCCATTGTCAGCCGAGCAGACGTAAGTGCCCTCCACGTGGCGATCCACACCTTCCAGAATCATGCTCAGGCCCTGAAATCATAATGGCATTAATATGTATACTGAATATATATATATATATTTTCGGAAGCAATAGGTGAAACTTGAAATACTTGCTTGAGGGGGTCATCGGAAGTGGATGCAATTATACAGAACTCTGCCTACGCGTTTCAACATGCAATTAAGGGGCAATTGAACATATAACAGTCAGGAATGAGAGAGCTGGGTTGACCAGATATGCCTAGAACTTCAGAAAGCCTCTGACACAGGGCTAAATAGGAGACTTTCACAGAAAACACGACAAGTATGTTGGAGTAACTGAAAGATAGTGGCTTTACAAGACTGTAGATAGTGGCTTTACAAGACTGTAGATAGTGGCCACGTACTAGTGGCTTTACAAGACTGTAATTACCATTTTATGTATCCTCACATTCCCAATGTACCTTCTTGTATATGCATAAATAAATAAATAAATAAATAAGATGACTAAGATGGGTGAGGGAGTACCTGTCAGATTGGAGACAAGGAGTCACAATGATACGAAATGAATTTGGATGGAGAAGAATAACCAGTGTACCACAGGGACCACAGCTATCTTGAGGTTATCTTGAGATGATTTCGGGGCTTTTTAGTGTCCCCGCGGCCCGGTCCTCGACCACGCCTCCACCCCCAGGAAGCAGCCAGTGACAGCTGACTAACACCCAGGTCCCTATTTTACTGCTAGGTAACAGGGGCATAGGGTGAAAGAAACTCTGCCCATTGTTTCTCGCCGGCGCCTGGGATCGAACCCAGGACCACAGGATCACAACTCCCGCGTGCTGTCCGCTCGGCCGACCGGCTCCCTAGAACACATCCTATTCCTTACACATGCAAATGATCTAACCACGGGTTTAGACTCCTACATGGCAACGTTCACCGATAATATAAACATGCTAAAGCTAATTGGGACAGATAAGGACTAAAGAATGCTACTGAGGGACCTAAACACACTGCAGGAATGGTATAAAAGATGGCTATTAGACTTCAGCCCAACTAAATGTAAGGTAATGAGAGTGGGAAGGAAGTTAGGAGATTGCAAAACTAGCAAACAAACAGGAAAAGGAAGCTCTCGGAATTAAAAACAAAAACAAAAAAACTATTTAAGAGTACATATAATACCAAATTTCTTAACATTTAATATGTCTTTCTACACAATTTCAATGTTATCTTCTTTGATTGTATTTTTCAGCTGGATCGCACGAGTTGCATATATAAGCAAAGTTTGATAACTTGAAGTAACTATCAGAACTATGGACAAGGAAACATACACTACAAGACTACACTCCCACACTCGCTACACTTCCTGTGTGGAGTCTATACACCACACCTGCAACGGGATACCACACACACACACCTCCTGCAGAAGTACACACACACACACACCACACCTACAGAAACACAAACACACACACACACACCACACCTCCAGAAGTACACACACCACACCTCCAGAAGTACACACACACACACCACACCTACAGAAGTACACACACACACACACTACACCTCCAGAAGTACACACACACACACACACACACACACACACACACACACACACACACACACACACACACACACACACACACACACACACACACACACACACACCAGGCCTCACCTCCTCCTCCAGAGCACCTGAAGGAAGTCTGCCCTCCTTGCGAGACCAATGGATGGTGGGTGTCGGGTTGCCCTCAGCCTGACACTCGAGCCGTACACTCTCACCCTTGAGTACGTGCTGTTCCTCCTCAGACACCCTCGTCAGTTTGGGGCCGTACTGTACGTCAAGCACGTGCTCCACCTGTAACAACAGTTCGATAAGATTTTGATACAATAGAATTAGATTT